AAGTATACCAATATAATATTTCTTTTATACCGGATTTGATGGCTTTTTCAAACCAATAAGCCAAGCGTTGCGTAGAACCCTCGATTATTTTCTCCAAAGAGAGTTCATTATCTATCTCATTGGATTTTACTATAACAGTAGATTTAGTAAAATCTTGCTTTAAAGTCTGTTCAGTAATTTGATTCCTATCAAGTCCCGATACTTCGTCAGATAAATCAGAAGAATATAATTCTGCATTATTATCAATATTAACAGTTTTTGTATCAGATGCCAATTCCAAGTTCTGATCGTTACCATTGGTAACGGTTTTTATTTCATATGATAAATTGGATTGCTCTGATGAATTATCTTTATCATATAATAAAGGATCTTGGTTATGAGATGCTTCATTATTTTGTAATAGCTTTTTTTCTCTAATCCCATTTCTAACCTGTTCTTTGTGTACCCGTTCCAGAAATTCGATCTCCCTATCTTTAAAAGATTTAGTTTCTGAAAAAGTGTTATCGGATACATCAGAATTTGAAATATTATTAAGTTCATTAGAATTTGATACATTATCAGATGAAGTAGACGAAATCTCTTCTGTAGAAAATGCATCCTGTGTATTAGTAATGGTTTGATCTTTCTTTTTGATTTCCTCAATATCATGTCTTAATTTCGCTATCTCAGCTTCAAGCTCGGTGTTTTTGGTCTTGAGGTTAGTAGTATCTTCTTTAAGTTTTGCATGATCAGCCTCTCGTTTGCTGTTTTCTTCCATAATCTGTTTTAAAAGCTCGGTATTCTTAGCCTCAAGTTCAGCCTTTTCGACCTCAACATTAGCATATTTCTTTCTAAGTTCGGTAATCTCGACTGTAAGTTTGGAATTTAATTCTCTTAACGAAGCAATTGTAGTTTGTGGGTCTGCCATTGTTTTACATAAAATGCGGATATATTCAAAATAAAATATTATGTGTATATTCTAATTTATATAACAATTCTCAATTATATGCAGGTTAGTAGATACCGGTATCGATATATCAGAATAAATTCACGAAATACAAGGGCAAAAGTAAACACGATTATGTATGCGAAATCAGCCACTAGGACCAGCTTTTATTAATATAAAAATCAAAATAAAGTACATGATAAAATACGGAACATATAAAAATTTGCACATTTAAACAAATAAAACTTCAGTCTAGTGTTAATTTTCTGATAAAAAAATAACCCAAATTATTTGGCTAATCTTGATTTAGGACATTTCGCTATTCACGACCTAAGTATTTATCAATAAATCGGATACGTTAGAAAATTATTAAAATATACAAAAACAAATAAAAATAAAAATAAAATGAGCATTCGTTAGTTGGTTATCCAGGTCACACCACGTGGAGGTCAATGCCCGAGTGACCCGTGCACCACACTTTGGTGGGTTTGGAATTAAGGAAAGACAACGGTAAAAAGGATGAAAAAAATAAGAATATATAACGAAATTAATGATAAAGGTCAAGATCATGGAAGCGGTCGTGAACAAGGTCGTAATAAAAGTGAAAATCGAAAGATATATTGCAAAGAGAGTCACGGGCGAGATTTAGAAAAATTATAGGAAGATGGGATTTATCTGTTAAAATAATAGGAAAATTGGATGTTTCGGCTGCGTCTACTGCTGCATCTGTAAAACTTTCCACAGAGGGACCCACCAGGATACCGATCGTACCTGGCCGCTCTTCACATACAACACCTCTAAGTTCGCGGACGACGTTGGGACCTATATTATCTGTAATTTAATATATATTCTTTATCATATTAATTAACATAATATCTAAGACAAACCTATTTGACCATCCCAATTTTTGCACTGGAAAACTAATTTTCTATCAATAATATACGAAATCATATCAATACCTCCGTCGTTGAACCCCCTATCAATAATAATAAGTGAGTAAATATGTCATTGCCATTAACGACTAAAGAAATACACGCCGGAATATTCTACGGTTGGTGTTTTCAGAAATCAACGTGTATCCTATTCATCACTCGTCCTGGGGTCCCTCTCCCAGCCTTTCTATATTGTATTATAGATGCAACTTTTCGGATACGAATAGAAGAACGTTCAACTATCGAAACAGTTGGCCACGAAGAGCTTTCATTCTATTCGGTTTTACACCTAGTGACAGCGTAACTTCAGATGCACGATGACTCAACAGATACTCAATGAGAATACTCACCCTGTGTACGTATAGCGCAAACGACATGATTTTAATATATCAACAACGTCCCACTCTAATATTTTTCCTTTTAAATAGTACGAGTATCTAATAACAACGGCAACGGATTCGGATTCGGATTCTGAACGAGACATCTTAATAAACAAACTTCTGAAGATCGAATTACATTTTCACGTATCTTTTATTACGATTTATCATCACTCCTTTTTCGCTGGGAATATTTCATAATTTTTTTGTCAGAAACGTGCTTAAATTACTCAGGTTATTCATCATGAGAAAAAAAATCATGTCAAAAAACCATTTTAAGATGTTTCTAACTGCACATTAAACCTGCTTTATTTAATCTTAGATAGAAATTAAGCACTGCAGTGATCCAAACTGGTTAATAACTCATGATATATGTAGATTTTAATGTAATAACGTTTATAGGGTATGGAAAAATGTGAGCAATTGACTGAATTTAGTTTAGATCATTCTGGGGAACAAAATAAAATATATGCATGCAGAATTTCTATGACCTTCCATTTTATTCTAAAAGTTGTTTAAACATCTCGTCTCGCAAATAAATTATGCATAACGATAAGGCTTGTAAGGTGGTACAGATTTCATATGCACAGACAACGCATTACAAATGTACAGATATATGTCATTGACCGAAATTAGAGTAATTTTACACGGGATTTTTTAATTTTATAGAATACTAATAACTGTGGAATAACTGGGATTTGTTTCATTAATAGTATAACGATAAGCATTTACAAATTTTAAACTATCGTTATCATAAATTCTTAACTCTGATTTATTATTCGAGATTCCCTTAGAAAATTATTACATTCACATCGCTTATATATCCCATCCGCCACCTTTTTACAGGTCTTACAATATAGGTGTGAATGATGATCGCATTCGTCACAAACCTTACACCCATGTTTCCATCCTCTAAAGATA